ACTTGAATTGGTATCACTATTGGGTCGGAATGGTATAAGGTAGGATAGTCCAGAAATTGATATTCCTCAAAGTTCTCCCCATGAATATCAGTTTTGGAGTAGTAAGGTTTGTCTTCAAAGAATGTGACATCCATAGAGTGATAGAATTTGCTGGTGAATGGGGAGTAGCGCTTATAACCTTGTTGGTTCGGGGAATATCCTAGAAAGACATATTTGAATGACCTATGATCTAACTTGCTATGGTTTGGTTGATGATTATGAACAAATGAGGCACAACCAAATATTTTAAGTTATACCTGGGACAAAATCCAAATGTGAGGGAAAATAGATTTTAGAGATTGGTGTGACATTTTGAAGTTAATGACTCGAGAAGGCATCCTATTAATAAGGTTTGCTGCAGTTAAAACAACTTCTCCCCAAAAATGATTCGGAACTGAACCGGATAATAGTAATGAACGAGTTACCTCAAGTAGATGATATTTTTTCTTTATGCTATTCCAATATATTGAGGGGTGTCAACGCATGATGTGAGGTGAATAATTCCCTGTTGAGTAATATAGTTACCCAACTCAGAGTGAAAGTATTCTTTTTGCATTATCAGATTGAAGCATTTGAATTTTTGTTGTGAATTGGTTTTGTATCATTTGATGAAAACGTCGGAAGATCGGCCCAACCTCAGATTTGTCTTTCATCAGAAATACCCATGTAACACGGGTGTGGTCATCGATAAAGATAACAAACCATTTCACACCAGATATATTTTTCACTCCGGAGGGTCCCCAAACATCACTATGGATTAAGTAGAAAGGATGAGAAGGTTTGTACGGAAGTGGAGAATAAGAATGTCTAACATGTTTGGATATTCGACAGACTTCACAATTGAAATCATTCGGAATTTTATTCATTAAATGGGGAAACAACATCTTTAAATAACAAACTTTTGGATGATATAACCTATGATGACATAGCATCACATTATTTTGACTAGAAACATGAAACACTGATGAGACCAAATGTTTTTTTTTTGACTTCTCGGCTTCAAGGTGGTAGAGCTCATCGCATACTTTAACACTGCCAATCATCTTCCCCGAACTCAAGGTCTGAAACATACATACAAATAGGGTTAAGATACTCATGCAATTAAGATCCCTCATTAATTTAATGGGGGATAACAAATTAAAGTCAAGATTGGGGACTTATAACAGATATTTCAATGTTATATTCTTGGATATGACAACTGTACTAATGCCTTCTACTTTCGTGTCTTCTCTCGTATAGTTCTTTCATTAGGTACCAGCTGGAAGTCAGTGAATACATTCCGATCCACGGTCATGTGATCAGTAGCATCACAATCAACAACCGATGGTTTTTCTGCAAATGCATTTTTTACGAATGCAGATGAGACTCCACCTTGTTGAGCCACAATAGTCATCCCTTTGTCTTCACGGGATGTGATTTGCAACATCCTACAGAGAGCTTTGATTTGTTCTTTGCTAAACAGTTCCTGGTTGTCACTAGCTGCTACATTTACACGATTACTAGGTTTCCTGGTTTTCCATGAATTTTCCAACAGGTTTCTTTGGTGTGACCAAGTTTCTATGCAATGATCACACCAAGACCGACTATTCTTCTTCTGAGACATTCCAGGGCTCACTTGAAATTTCATACTAGATGGATCACGAGTTGCGAGAGCAGATCCCTCATCTGTGATGTTGCCAATATTTCCAAGCATTACTCTTCTTCGGCTTTCTTCACGTCGGACTTCTGAGAACACTTCCCTAAGGTTGGGAATAGGTTTAGTACCAAGAATCCTTCCTTAGACTTCATCAAGTTCTTGGTTGAGTCCAAGAAGGAGTTTATAAATCCTTTCGGTCTTAACCAACTGCTTGTATTGTTTTCCATCTACTAGGCAGCTCCAAGTAACAACATGAAGGACATCCAATTGCTACCAATAAGGGTTCAATGTGGTGAAATAACTCGTAGTAGTTGACTCTCCTTGACAGAGATCATGGAGAATTCCCTTGATTTCAAATAGAGCTGAAGTGTTATATTGATTTGAGAATGTATCACGAGATGCTTCCTAAATTTCTGATGTTGTCTTGTAAAACATAATCTGTTCTCCTATTTCAAGAGTCATAGAGTTCAAGAGCAATGACATAACCATATTGTTCTCTGCCTTCCATATTTTATGTTTTGGACTTTTATCATCAGGTTGGACTAGATTTATGGACATGTAGTTTTCTTTGCCTTTTCCTCCAATGAAAATTAAAACCAAGTGAGACCAAAGGTTGTAGTTCTAACCATTCAGTTTATATGCCGTGGGCATGGAGATGTCATCAGGATTCAAAATTGGTGGAATTTGAAACTACTTTGCAGATGATGAGCCGAAATTGACATCTTCACTGACCAGGGCAGTAGGTATATTTTCGAATTTGATTAAAGTATTATTTATGGTGACAAAGGCATGAAAGAATCCTCACACTAGTAGGTTGCAAAGAAAAAAAAGAAGGAAAAAATTGGTTTGGAATAACCCACCCAAGAATGGGATGATAAGAGAGATCGATGGTTTAAGGATAATCTAACCAACTTGTTTTTGAAGGAAGACACTCGATTAGGGCTGGATCGAGCTCTGCTCTGATACCATATTAATTCCTGCAACCCTACTGTTGATTTAGTAGGACACCATAGAGAGATAGAGAGAAAACGCTGCATTATTTTTATTCATCATATTTATCTGACTCTTAAAGAACAGGAAAGAAATATTTATACTAAAAGGCTAGGGACGGCTCAACCCTATAACAAAACTAAAAAAGCGATAATACCCCTCCAACCTAAATACAGAAACAAATAAGAAAATCAAACTCAGAAATCTTCATATATATATATATATATATATATATATATATATATATATATATATATATATAGGGCTAGGTTATTTTGTTTCTTACATTTATTGTGTGCTAGAATGCACCAATAGGAATTTAGTAAATTAAATAATTATTTAATTAAATAAATATAGATATTAAATGATTTCCATAATTGTATATATATTAGATGATATCCATAATTATAATTCTCTTTTTATGGAAACTACTTAAATCCGTAATTAATGTCAGCAATAATATTCTTTCAGAATGATTTCGCATCTAGGTTTTATATATGAGTTCTTTTTTGTTTCATGACTAACTCACTTAAAATAGAATAAAGTTGAATGGAATATGAAGAATGAGAGTGTATTCTAGTAGAATACACTCTCATTCTGCTGGAATACACTATCATTCTTCTAGATACGAATTCATTCTGAAAGAATATTATTGTTGACATTAATGACGAATTTAATTAGTTTCCATAAAAATGAGTTATAAGTATGGATAGCATTTAGTATACATATAATTATTACTAAATTCTTATTGGTGCATTCTAGCACACAATAGTTGTGAGAAACATTTGAACCTACCTATACACACACACACACACTAGTAGGCTACCCGTACGATGCTGCGGGCGGTGATTAGTTTCCGAGCGTCCGTTAGTTTCCTTTCAGAAGCTCTTTTGGTTGAAGTTGTGATAACTCTTTTTAGGGATTAATTGCTCGAAAAAAACGACTATACTCGGAAGATATATTTGTCAAAAAAGTTGAAATTTGACAGATGAAATCTTAACACAAATAAATGTTAAAGATGATGGTGATTTACAATTGCCAACACTATAATTCATAAAAGTTTTAAGTTTGGTATACAGTTTTCAAAAATGTATTTGAAATATTGAAGGGAAATGTTTTTCTAAAAATTTTTATTTGTTTATATTATGGTTATTGTCAATTAAAATATTAACTTATATTTTTATTAGTACATTTGTATATGAAAATTAATAAGTGTTAAAAAATCAAATTAAATAAAAAACCTAAATTTAGAGTACAAACAAAATCAAGAATCTAAATTATAATAAAACTAAATCGGTGTTGACAAAATATCATTTTCTAATTTGAGTTTTGATTCTGGTCTATTAGATTTTTCTATGAAAAACGTCATATTTAAACAATTTAATGAAAATATGATATTCTCCAAACCATTTCATACATCGGCGTAAAACAATTTTCAAAAAAATAATAAATATTGTATTTTTTAAATTTACAATTCGAATTAATTTATGTTTATATAACTATCGTATCTCATTGGTAACTATTTAGTTATAAGTTATTGAAACCATCAATTTTTAAAATTATTGAAATTTAAATATATAAATTAAAAAGTAAGTTAAATATTGTACATATTAATTAAAAAGAAAACAAATATACTTTTTATATTACCAATAAAAAGTTATGATGACAATATAGTTATCATCTTTTCACTATGTCATGCATGATAACAGTAAAAAGTTAAGATAACATTTAATTTTTCACGTATGTCAACAATAAACCATTTGTTTCTATCCCAAAACTCTTCTTCTTGATTTTAAGATAAATGTCTTAAACTTGAAAAGGCCCCACAATATGTATGTAGTCTAGCTGATAGGTAGCATCAAAATCAAAAAAATTATGTTACCCACTTGCCTACAATCTTTGGCAACCCTCTTGAATTTGAATTTTATGGTATTGTATTTGGTGAAGTTTAAAGTAATGGCCAAAGTAATTATAAGAAAAGAGAAGACGCTTTTCAAGTATTTTAATTTGTTTTAACTGTTTGTTGTGAAATTAAGTCAGGATTACTGATTCCACATCTTACTATAAAAATCCACCATTGCCACGTGGCACCAACTGGTATCTGTATGAGTATTCAGCGACAGATTTGTCCCTGACTAATACTTGATTTTAAAGAAGTGAAGTTTCTAAGAGGATAGCAATCTTCAGTAACTTAATTACTTTTTTATCTACTACATAATGCTTTAAGAAAACATATGAGAAGTTTCATAACAAAAAGGCATTTAAACAAGAACATATTATCAGGATGCATGTAGCGAACATGACAAAAGCAAATAACATTGAAAGTACAATAATATCAAGCCTTCATCAACAGATTTGAAACTTGGCGCATTGCTGGCCTTTCTTGTGGATTCGAGTTCAAACATGCTCTTGAGAGATTCAATACCAAATTCTCTTTTTTTTCAACTTGTTCTGAAGGAAGTGGAATACGACGATCTCCAACACTTGATAACACTAGATAATCAGCAGACAATGTTGGCAGTTCACCAGGATGCTTTCCCATCATCACTTCTAGTGCAACGATCCCAAAGCTATACACATCGCATTTCTCGGTCACGACCATCGTATAAGCAAGCTCTACATCCAAGGATACATGAGATAAAAACAAAAAAAAAGTTATATCAACCTCACAAGATTCTAACATAGATACATATATGTACATATACTATTCATATATATATATATATATATATATATATATATAGATATATATATATATATATATATATAATATATATATATATTATATATATATATATATATATATATATATATATATCGTGAAACATGAGAAAATGTAGAACTAACATAAAAAAGAACGTTACCTGGCGCAATATAACCATAGGTTCCTGCAATTGCAGTCCAATTGGATGAGTCTAGCTTTAGAAGCTTGGAAGCACCAAAATCAGAAATATGTGCCTCATAATCAGAATCAAGAAGGATATTGGCAAATGGAAATGTCTCTATGAATTATAGGAGGTGAGCAATCGTGATGCATATAAGCCAAACCATTAGCTATAGCCTTTACAATATTTACCCTTTTCGACCAATCCAGTTCTTGTACTAAAACATCACTTCTTAAGATTGATCCAAGGCTTCCCTTTTCAAGGTATTCATAAATCAAAAATGAGTGGCGGGCATGTGAGCAATATCCATAAAGTTTCATAATGTTTCGATGCCTTATGTTGGTTAATGCTCGTATCTCGTTAAGGAATCCATTATGATCGACATTCTCAGATGATGAATGAAGTTTCTTGACAGCTACCACATTGTTAGGTTGTAGCACGGCTTTGTACACAGTCCCATATCCTCCAGTCCCAATAGAGTATGCTTCATCAAAATCATTTGTTGCTTTCAAGATGTCATCATACACTACTCCTCCATCAAAACTTGTTATGGAGAAATAATCACCATCTTCTTTTTCCAACGGTTTATGTGGAGAATGTTTCTTTTGTTTTCGATAATCAATGAAGCCATACATGAAAACACCAAGTAAAATTACCCCGATAAGTGGGAGCATAATTACCAGGATGAGCCGATGATGAAAGGGGTTATTTTTCTTCTTCGAGATTTGAGTTGCACAAAGTTTTTTAGTCCCGTAAAGTTTCCACACAAACCTGGATTTCCTTGAAAGGATGTGTTCTCAAAGTTAGAGGAAAGGGGAACTGGACCTGTGAGTTCATTGTTGGACAGGTCGATGGCAATCCCACTAGGCAAACTTGTAAATGCGATTGGAATAGAACCATATAGTCTATTGTGAGATAGATTCAACTTTTGTAGATTTTTCAAACTTTGAACTTCAGATGGTATCTCTTCTGTGAGCAAATTCTGAGATAAATCAAGTTCTGTAAGATGAACTAATTTTACCAATCTCAGATGGAATTTTCTCACTAAGCTGGTTATTACTAAGATTCAGGTAGTGGATGTGTACCCATTTACCAATACTTTTTGGTATCGACCCATTCAATCTATTTCTGGAGAGATCGAGTTCTTCCAAGACTTCATAGAATTCAAGCTCCTGAGGTATAATACCTTTAAGTTGGTTATCAGCCAAGCACAAATTCAACATACTTTTCATCTTCCCAAACTCCTTTGGGATCTCACCAATCAAATGATTCGAAGACAGATCAAGTCTTTGTAGTTGAGTTAAATTTCCAAACTCTAGAGGAATAGAACCACTAATTTGATTGTCGTTCACTTTAAGAACTGTGAGAGACTTGACATTCACTAGTTGGGTAGGAATTTGACCAGCAAGCTGATTGTGATACATATAAAGAAAATTTAACGATGTCAAATCACCAAATGATGAAGGAATAGAACCTCTAAGCTGATTTCTACTCACCGGAAGATGTGTAAGAAACTTCAACTTCCCAAGTTCACTAGGAATGGGACCAGAAAATTTATTATCTTGGAGAGCCAGCCATTGTAAGTTGCTCAGGTTTGCTAGTGCTGTAAAAAACGACGGATCCAAATTGACTTAAATAATATTAGCTCAATGCGGAATGGGATCAAAAATTATCAAAGCGTAATAATCACAACGTAATACGAATAAAATAAATATAATAGAGACACATGAATTTACGTGGAAACCAAAAAAAACCACGGGCGGAGGAAGCCGAGAAACAATTCACTATAATTTGCAGTGTTTACAGGGATTATGAAAGAGATTATAAAATAGAGTGGGAGAGCTAAAATACACGGTGGTGTATCAGTATATATATGTAATGCTTTTTTTATATATACTTGGATGATTTTTTGGTTGTGTTCTTTCCTCTGGTTCATGGCTTAGGCTATTTATAGCCAAAAGCAATATCATATGAAAGGAAAGAAGAAAAGCCGTCCAAATTGTAGGCGGACAATTGTTTTTAGGCGCTTTACTTTGACCACATATATACACCGTCCAATTCTTCATTCAATTCACATATATATTACTATTCATAGTCAAACTATGAATAGTAAATGATAAGTTACTGAAATAACCCCTGAACTATTTGCCACTTGCTAATTTTGGAGGCAACTTTTCCACAATCTCCACCTTGATGTCAAAATTAAGCAAGTCATGCTTTACGATTAGTCAAAACATATAGCTCATCAAACTCTAAAACTTCCATAAGAACCTGCAAATTTTATATAGAGAAAAAATTGTTTCCGAAAAATAAATAATACTTCCTCCACCACGAGCCTTCAGGCTCAACTGCGATCAGAAACACCCACCATGTCCAAACATAATTTGAACTTGGCTATAGGAAGACTTTTGGTGAACATATCAGCGGGATTATAATCTGCATGAATCTTGTCCACAACACAATCACCTTTTTCAATGATATCCCACACAAAAATGATAACGAATATCAATATGCTTTGTTCGGTCATGAAACATTTGATCTTTACTCAAGAAGATAGCACTCTGGTTGTCACAGAAAACTGTGGTCACCTTTATTCTATCATTGAGTTCTCCAAATAACCCCTTCAACCAGATATATTCCTTAACTGCTTCTGTAATCGCCATGTACTCTGCCTCGGTAGAAGACAGGGCAACTGTAGACTGTAACTGGGCTTTCCAACTAACAACACAACCATTTAGAGTAAACACATACCCTGTAATTGATCTTCGTTTATCCAAATCTTTGCCATAATCTGAATCAACATATCCGAACACCCCAGTGTTAGATTTACCAAAACGTAAACACATAGAAGACGTACCGCGTAAATAACGAAAAATCCACTGTACTGCTTTCCAGTGTTCTTTCCCCGGGTTCGCCATGTATCTACTAACCATGCTAACAGCATAAGCCAAATCAGGGCGTGTGCAGATCATAGCATACATCAAAGATCCAACAGCACTAGAGTATGGAACACGTGCCATGTAAGCCATATCAGTCTCATTAGTAGGACTCAAAGCGGATGATAGCTTGAAATGAGCTGCGAAAGGTGTGTTGACAGACTTTGCTTCGTGCATACTGAAGCGTCTTAGGACTTTCTCAATATAACTTTTCTGAGAAAGATGCAAGATCCTAGACTTCCTGTCACGAATAATTTCCATACCTAAAATCTTTTTGGCAGCTCCTAAGTCCTTCATTTCAAATTCAGCTTTCAACTGGTCTTTTAACTTCTGAATCTCCTTCATATTTTTTCGCTGCAATCAACATGTCATCCACGTACAAGAGTAAGTAGATCTTTGAACCATTGTCACCTTTCTTAAAATAAACGCAGCTATCATAGGTGCACCTGCTGAATTTGTGACTGGTCATGAAAGAATCGAACCTCTTGTACCATTGTCTAGGAGACTGCTTGAGGCCATAAAGAGATTTGTTCAACTTGCATACGTAGTTCTCCTTTCCAGGAACTACAAAACCTTCAGGTTGTTGCATAAAAATCTCTTCCTCAAGCTCACCATTTAGGAAAGCTGTAGTGACATCAAGTTGTTCTAACTCAAAATCGTTAGAAGCAACCAACCCCAACAACACACAAATGGAAGTATGTTTGACAACTGGGGAATAAATGTCAGTGTAATCAATACCAGGAATCTGACTGTAGCCTTTAGCTACTAACCGAGCTTTGTATCTTGGTTTATCATTTGGGTTGACAGGTTCCTTTAGCTTGTAGACCCACTTGCATTTAACTGGTATCTTCCCTTTCGGAATAGGAACTAAATTCCAAGTACTGTTTCGCTGCAAGGATTCCATCTCATTTTGCATAGCGAGCATCCAATCATTTGAGTCTTCAGATTTGATAGCCTCGTCATAATTTGCAGGCTCCGTTGCAGACTCAATATTATCAGCAACAATAAAAGCATATGCAACCAAATCAGATTCAGCATACCTCTTCGGAGGAATAATCTGTCTTCTCGGTCTATCTCTTGCAATGCTTGGAGTAGTAGCTTGTGGTTGTAAAGGTGTTGAATCTTTACCAACAACATGCTCATCCGACGAAGAAGAATCTTGATGCTGATTTGTACTCTGATTAGTGGTAGGTGAAGTAGGATGCTCCACCTCCATTTGAGCATTCTCTTTATTTGCTTCGGATGATACTATGCATCTGGTCTTTTAGAAGAGTCAGCAACTGGTTGAAATATAGCAGACTCATCAAAAGTAACATCTCTTGAGATGATAATTTTCTCCAAATCAAAGCTCCATAACTTGTAACCCTTTACACCTTGATTGTACCCAAGAAAAACGCATTTGATTGCTCTTGGTTCTAGCTTCCCATTGTCAACTCGTGCATACGCTGGACATCCGAATGGTTTTAAATCTGAATAATTTGCAGGTTTACCGGACCATAATTCAAACGAAGTTTTCTTCTCGATTGCTCGTGACGGTGATCGGTTGATAACATAGCAAGCAGTCGAAGCAGCCTCCGCCTAAAAAGACTTTGGCAATTTGGAATTAGAAAGCATACACCGGACCTTCTCCATAATGGTGCGATTCATTCTTTCAGCTACACCATTTTGTTGAGGTGAATGGACTACTGTGCGATGTCGAGTAATGCCTTCCTTTTGACAATAGACATTAAACTCTTCTGAGCAAAACTCAAGTCCATTATCCGTACGAAGATACTTTACCACCAGACCTGATTGCTTTTCAACCTGAACTTTCCAATTTCTGAAGGTAGAGAAAACGTCTCCTTTATTTTTTAAGAAGAAAGACCACACCTTCCTGGAGAAATCATCAATAATAGTGAGCATATAAATAGCTCCACCTTTTGAAGCAACTCGAGCCGGTCCCCACAAATCCGAGTGAACATAATCAAGTGGTCCTTTCGTTGTATGGATACCACTTGCAAACCTCACTCGTTTTGCCTTGCCATATACACAGTCTTCACAAAAATCCAAATCAACAATATTTTGTTGACCAAGTAAACCTCTTCGACTCAATTCTGACATGCCTTGAAAACTCATATGGCCGAGTCGAAGGTGCCAAAGACGGGACTGATCTGGATCAGAAAAAGACTTTGACACAACAACAACATCACTTGAAATTGTTTGCCCGTCAAGAAAGTAAAGATCTGAGGTTTTTCGTTCGGCTCTCAGTTTGTCGGAAGCGTCTTTGAATACCCTGAGAACTCCACCTTTACCAGCAAACTCGTATCCCTTTTTGTCAAAGGAACTGAGAGATAACAAGTTTCTTCTGAGGTCAGGAACATATCTAACACCCCCCATGGTTCGAATAACTCCGTCAAACATACGGATCCTGACTGAACCATGTCCAAGAACTGGACATGTAGTATTGTTACCCATCAACACATAGCCCTGGTTAACCTTTTCAAATGTGTAAAACCAACTTTTGTTGTGACACATATGAAAAGTACAACCAGAGTCGAGTATCCAATCACCAGTGGAATCCAGTTTATCTGAATAAACTGTCAAAAGTTCTCCAATACCTTCGACCTTAGCTAGATCGGCTTCACCCGAAGTGCTAGCTTATTTACCATTTGCTGCCGTCTTCTCTTTTTCTTTGTTCTTCAACTTGAAGCATTCTTCAAGCACATGTCCCTTCTTGTGACAATAGTTGCAAAACTTTCGTTTGCCTTTTGACTTGGATCTGGTTCTGTTGGAAGATTGAGAAGTTCTACTTCTCTCTGTTGTTCTTCCTCTGGCATTCAAACCTTCGGCTTTAGCATCACTTAAACCACCACCAGTAATATGCTTCATCTTCTCTTTTGAATCCAAAGCTGTATAGACTTCATCTAAAACTAGAGTGTCACGACTATAGATAATAGTATCACGAAAATGGCTATAGGATTCTGGCATAGTAAGAATAGAGCCAAGTCTTCATCTTCATACTGAACATCCATATTCTCTAAGTTATTTACTAACTCTTTAAATGTGGATATATGTTCAGCTAAAGAGCCTCCTTCAATCATCTTGAGATTGAACAACCGTTGCTTCAAATGCAACTTGTTTGGTAAGCTCTTGGTCATCAACAGTTGTTCCAACTTTAGCCATAAAGAAGCCGCTGATGTTTCTTTTAGAACATCTTGCAAAACATCATTTGACAAGTGCAAACGAATCTGGGATAAAGCCTTCAGATCTTTCATCTCCTTTTCTTCTTCGGTCCATGTATCGGGCATCTTATTGAAACCCAAGAGCGCCTTGTGTAAATCCATCTGAATAAGAATGTCTCTCATCTTTACTTGCCACAACGGAAATCGGGTGTTACGATCCAGTAGTGGAATATCGTATTTTACCGAAGACATGATTAATTACTTGATAAAATGATCCCAACGAGCTAATATCACAACCCGGATGCTCTGATACCAATTGCTGTAAAATACGACAGATCCAAATTGACTCAAATAATATTAGCTCAATGCGGAATGGGATCAAAAATTATCAAAGCGTAATAATCACAACGTAATACGAATAAAATAAATAGAATAGAGACACAGGAATTTACGTGGAAACCCAAATCGGGAAAAAACCACGGGCGGAGGAAGCCGAGAAACAATTCACTATAATTTGCAGTGTTTACAGGGATTATGAAAGAGATTATAAAATAGAGTGGGAGAGCTAAAATACACGGTGGTGTATCAGTATATATATGTAATGCTTTTTTTATATATACTTGGATGATTTTTTGGTTGTGTTCTTTCCTCTGGTTCATGGCTTAGGCTATTTATAGCCAAAAGTAATATCATATGAAAGGAAAGAAGAAAAGCCGTCCAAATTGTAGGCGGACAATTGTTTTTAGGCGCCTTACTTTGACCACATATATACACCGTCCAATTCTTCATTCAATTCACATATATATTACTATTCATAGTCAAACTATGAATAGTAAATGATAAGTTACTGAAATAACCCCTAAACTATTAGCCACTTGCTAATTTTGGAGGCAACTTTTCCACAGCTAGTGATGAAGGAATAGAACCATTAAGTTGATTCAAACCCACCTCAAGATTAGTGAGAGACTTCAAATAAGTAAGTTCAATGGGAATGGGACCACTAAGTTGATTACTGCTCAACCCAAGATCAGTGAGAGATTTCAAATTCCCAAATTCAGTTGGAATGGGACCAGAGAGTTGATTTTTGTACAAATAAAGGACATTCAAAGATGTCAAATTACTCAACGATGAAGGAATAGAACCACTAAGTTGATTATTGTTGATCACAAGATAAGTAAGAGATTTCAAATTCCCAAGTTCAATAGGAATGTGACCGGAGAGTTGATTATTTTGCAAAAGAAGGATATCCAGAGATGTCAAATCACCCAATGATGAAGGAATAGAACCACTAAGCTGATTGTCATTTAACGGGAGCTGAGTGAGAGATTTCAAATTCCCAAGTTCAATTGGAATGGGACCAGAGAGTTGATTCTTATACAAAGAAAGGACATTCAAAGATGTCAAATCACCCAATGATGAAGGAATAGAACCATTAAGTTGATTGTTGTATACCACAAGAAAAGTGAGAGACTTCAAATTCCCAAGTTCAACTGGAATTGGACCAGTGAGTTGATTATTTTGCAAATAAAGGACATTCAGAGATGTTAAATCACCCAATGATGAAGGAATAGAACCACTAAGTTGATTGTCGGGCACCTCAAGATCAGTGAGAGACTTCAAATTCCCAAGTTCAATGGGAATGGGACCAGAGAGTTGATTTTTGTACAAATAAAGGACACTCAAATATGTTAAATCACCCAATGATGAAGGAATAGAACCATTAAGTTGATTGTTGTACATGGCTAGCTCAGTGAGAACTCAAATTTCCAAGCTCAATTGGAATGGGACCAGAGAGTTGATTTTGGTGCAAATAAAGGACATTCAAAGATGTTTGTAACGCCCCGTTTTCATTTATAAATAAATAAATAAAGATAAGTATTTATGTCAAAAATGTTTATAAAATTATCATAAGTTATATATAAATATATAGTAGTAAATTTGGTGTTACAAATAATCAAAAATGTGTATAAAAGATTTAATGGTTATATGGTTTAAAAAGTTATAATTACATTTAAATATGAAAGTAAAAATATATTTATTTTTAGCTAAAGTGATCTAAATGAAAGTTGTAGTACTCGGAAATATCTACGCATGAAAAAAAAATACGTCGAAAATGGAGCTCGTATGAAGAAGTTATGAATTTTTGAAGTTTGAACAAAAATCTCGAAATGAAATCCGGCAGCCGACCACCGGCCGGAAAAGTGGCGAGTGGCGGCGCGTGGAGGTGAGTGGCGGCGAGTGGCTGGTGCCATTGGAAAGCTGACTCGATTTCCTTCAAGATGGAGTCGGGTCCAATAGTTCTAGGTGCGGTATTGAGTGCCAGAATTAGGCCAAAAGTAAAAGAAATCATAAAATAATAATAATGGAGAAATTAGGTCATGAATAAAATAATCAACATTTTACCTATAAATAGAGAGGTAATTTTCCTTCATTTGGGAAAGAACAACAAGTGTAAATTATAGTCTTGATAATCGAGAAGATAAATGCCGAGAGGCTGTTAAGTGAATAAACTCGAGAAAACAAACGTTCGTGTTGCTGTTCTGCGACTAAGGTGAGTTTTACTATTCTATATGTGATACTCATGTATGTAGTTATTATAAAACAAGTTCATGTGAAGATATTATGATAAATAATATTTACCATTATTTACCATTATTTACTATTGACGGTAATTATGTGTAAACATGTTATATGTGTAATTTTTACTGTTGACGGTAAAAATGTTATGCTATGTATTATATACTAGTAAATGTTATTACTATGATTATTATATGACATACATGATTAACTACTGTAGTTAAACAGTAGATGTTTCAGGATTACTGTAGTAAAACAGTAAATATTTCAGAATTACTGTAGTAAAACAGTAAATATTTTTATAATGATTATATGCATGTGGTAAAATGTATAGATTGTGAATTCACTAAGCGTTGGCTTATCAGATACTATTAACATTTTTACAGGACCCTCTGGGGTAAACAAGGGGAAGAATCCAGCTTGACTATCGTGGCAACCGCATTACTCTTGAAAATTATGGATAAAAGTCTTCCGCTGTTTATTTCAATAAATCATGTTTTATGTAATAAAGTTTAAACCTGGATTTATTTGTGTTTATTTAAAACTCTTTAAATGTCATTATATTATAAATGAAGTTTTATTAATATTCAAATGGGGACCAAATCAGATATTTTATTACTGTAGTAAATATTTATTTACCGCAGAAAAAAAAAAAGGGTGTTACAAGTTGGTATCAGAGCTTTAGTTTAAGGGATTCAAATATACATCAGTGTGTGTTTGAACTTAAACCGAAGCTCAAAATTTTCAAGAAAAATAAAATTTTGGAAAAAGTGTCAAAATTTTAAAAGAGTAAAGTAATGCGGAACGAGCAGTCAGCCGGTATTCTTCAAAAGGTATAATATAATATATTTTTATAATATATTACATACAAGAAATTTTGATATATATGATATATATGTATATATTTCACATGCTAGAATTGAATAGGATATAGATAAATATCCGTATGATTATGTGTTTACTTAAAATTAGCAAAGAGTAAAGTAAATGCTTTAAAACTATGCATAATTAGAATTACATAGACTTAGAATTTTGACTAAAGCCTTACTGCATGTTCTTGTTTGATTGTTGCTTTAGGGTAAAAAGTTAATTATTTGAATGACTATTTGATTCAGCATTATGTATAGTTATGTATTTATAATACTCTTTGATAATATTAATTGGTTAAAAAGAGTATAATCAGTAAACTCTGTAGACATTATATGTATGTCTACAATATGTGAAATAGAAAATGCGTGTTAAACTAAAATCTGCAATTTGGAAGACTTTGTGATATACCAAAAACAATTATGTATATGTGTGGACGTTAGTATGGGCCCGTACTAACGAAAGCACATGGTACATAATTGGGACGGGAGGACCACAAGGAAAACCAGAAAACAGATGGAAGTTTCTTTAGAATAAGGCATAGGATTAATTACTTATATATATATATATATATATATATATATATATATATATATATATATATATATAATTTATTATATTATGGTTATCAGAAAGATGGTGGTTACAAGAAATGAAAGTGGAAATGGAAATGGAAGTGGAAATGGAAATGAAGATCAACATGAAGATGTCAATGTTAGGGAGCTAGTTGCGTCTGAAATAAGAGTAGCAATTCAAGAATTTCTCCCAGAGTTATTCGAGCAAGTAAAGACTGATTTGTTAAAAATCATTGATAATAAGATGGCAGCATCTGGTCAACCCAAGAAATGCAAGTATCAGGATTTTGCAGCTACCAAACCACCATTGTTCCATGGAAAGAAGGACCCTCTGGTCAGCATGCGCTGGATATCAGAGATAGAGAATGCTTTTCGTACTTGTTTTTGTCAGCCAGAAGCAAAAGTTCGATTTGCAGCAAACCAATTACGAGGAACGGCGAATGATTGGTGGGAGTTAACCATGAAGAAGCTTAAGGAAGCTGAAATAGAGAACATGACTTGGGCAGAATTCAAAATACTCTTTCAAGATGAGTATGTTACAGTGGTAGAAATAGATAGAATAACTGAAGAGTTTCTATCTATGGAGCAAACAACGGAATCGGTCAATGAAATCACCGATAAATTTCTGGAAAAATCAATCTTTTGTCAAGAATTTGTGGCCACGGAAAAGATGAAGATGAATCGTTATGTTAAGATACTCAAGCCCAGGATCAGAGAGGTTGTTGTAACCTCTAACTGCAAGACATTCAAAGACATGACAGAAATAGCAAGACTCAAGGAGCTGGATATGGAGACTCAAGACAAGAAGAGAAAGCAGGTACACGTTCAAGAACTAAACAAGAAGTTCAAACAAACCAATAACCAAACTGAAGGCAAGAAGAACCATCCCAAGTGTGATAAATGTGGGAAGAATCATCCAGGAGAATGTCGTATGGGAATGGGAGTATGTTTCAAGTGTGGAAAAAGTGGGCACATGAGTAGGGATTGTCCAGAAAGTTGAAAATATGCTACAATTGCAATCAGTATGGGCATATTAAGCCAAATTGTCCTTTGCTGGCTCAAGGTACGGTTCAAACTCCAGCTCCATCTACTCTGAGGATCACTGATGGGAGAACAGGAACAAGAAATGAAGCCCCAAGAGTTCAAGGTAGAGCTTTCCAGCTCACCGTTGAGCAAGCACAAGATGAACCAAACGTAGTTGCAGGTACCTTCCTCATTAATTCAAAACCAGCACTAGTTCTGTTTGATACTGGAGCAAGTCGCTCTTTTGTGTCTTTAGCATATAGCAAGAATATAATTGTTAAACTAGAAAAGTTAGATAGAGAATTAGAAGTAGAGATAGCCGATGATAAGACGATAACAGCACATCATGTATATAAAGGTTGTGTATTAGTAATATCCGATGTGAAGTTCAAGATCGACCTCATTCCAATTCCGATGAAAGAAATCAACATCGTTATAGGGATGGACTGGTTAGAAAAGCATCATGCCTTGATCGACTGTAGAAGACATCGAGTCCGAGTTCAAACCCCAAGTAGGGGAGAACTAATCATTCAAGGGGAAGGAAGAAGGAACATGACATCCATCTGTTCAGCAGCAAGAGTACGGAAGTACATACAACATGGATGTACTGGATATTTGGTTCATACACTAGATGGTAAACCAGAAAAGAAGACAGTAATTTCCAATGTGCCAGTAGTTCAAGAATATACCGACGTGTTTCCTGAAGATTTACCCGGTATTCCTCCAAAAAGACAAGTAGAGTTTGGGATCGACCTTACTCCCGGAGCAGCACCAATAGCCAAGACACCATATAGACTTGCACCCCCTGAGATGTAAGAACTGTCTGCTCAACTGCAGGAATTGATAAAGAAGGAGTTCATACGTCCAAGTAGTTCTCCATGGGGCGCACCAATACTGTTTGTCAAGAAGAAAGACAGATCATTCAGGATGTGCATTGACTACAGAGAACTTAACAAAGTCACTATAAAGAATAAGTATCCTCTACCAAGAATCGACGACCTTTTCGATCAGTTGCAGGGAGCATCTTGGTTTTCCAAGATCGACCTTCGATCTGGATACCATCAGATGAGAGTTAAGGAGGAAGATATACACAAGACAGCATTCCGAACAAGATATGGACATTACGAATTCATTGTAATGCCATTTGGACTTACAAATGCACCAGCAGTGTTCATGGATTTAATGAACCGAGTTTGTCGACCCATGCTTGACAAATCAGTGATTGTGTTTATTGACGACATTCTTGTGTACTCAAAGAACAAAGAAGAGCATGAATATCATCTACGAGAAGTATTGACAGTACTGAGGCGCGAGAAGTTGTATGCCAAATTTTCAAAATGTGAATTTTGGTTACGAGAAGTCCAATTCTTAGGACATATTATCAATCAGAATGGTATTAAAGTTGACACGGCCAAGGTTGATGCAGTAATGAAGTGGGAAGTTCCAAAGACCCCTACAGAAATTAGAAGTTTTCTTGGTTTGGCTGGATACTATCGTAGATTTATCCAAGATTTTTCCAAAATCGCAGTACCATTAACCAAATTGACGAAAAAGAATGAATTGTTTGAATGGGGTAATGAACAACAAGTAGCTTTTGAGATCTTAAGGCAAAAGTTATGTGAAGCACCAATCCTAACTCTACCAGAAGGAGTCGATGATATGACTGTCTATTGTGATGCATCTTATCGCGGATTAGGAGTTGTATTAATGCCAAGAGGAAAGGTGATTGCATATGCATCAAGGCAACTGAAACCACATGAAGCCAATTACCCAACACATGATTTAGAGCTTGCATCTGTAGTTTTTTCTCTAAAGATATGGAGACACTACCTTTATGGAGTGAAGTGTACCATTTTCACTGATCATAAGAGTTTAAAGTACCTTATGGATCAACAGAACTTGAATATGAGACAAAGGAGGTGGTTAGATGTTTTGAAAGATTATGATTGTGAAATACTTTACCACCCGGGTAAAGCAAATATCGTTGCGGACGCGCTTAGCAGAAAGGCAATTTGTGCAACTATTCAAGCATCATGTATGGAAGTAACTGTGGTTGGTTCACTGATAGATATGATCAGGCAAGCTCAAGTTGAAGCAATAAAGGAAGAAAATCAAGGGAAAGAACGAATTAAAGGACAAATTGCAAATCTTATCGAAAACAGTCAAGGATTGTTGACTCGATACAACCGTGTATGGATTCCATACATCGGTGGAAATAGACAAGTTCTTTTAGAAGAAGCGCACAAGTCAAAGTTTTCTATTCACCCAGGTGCTAACAAGATGTACAAAGATCTTAAGGAAGGATACTGGTGGCCATCAATGAAAAGACATGTAGCAAATTATGTAGAAAAATGCTTGACATGTTTAAAAGTAAAGGCCGAGCATCAGAAACCGCATGGTAAGCTTCAGCCTTTGGAGATACCAGTTTGGAAATGGGAGCACATCACCATGGATTTTATCACTAAATTGCCCAAAACCCCGAGATGTGTTGATACTATCTGGGTTATTGTTGATAGGTTAACAAAGAGCGCTCACTTTGTTGCAATCAAAGAAAGTTCCTCTTCGGAACAATTAGCTGACATTTATGTCAAGGAAGTGGTGTCAAGACACGGAGTACCAATATCGGTAATTTCAGATAGAGACACCAGATTTACGTCACGTTTTTGGAAGAAGTTTCATGAAGATTTGGGTACTAGATTAAAGTTTAGTACAGCTTACCATCCTCAAACAGATGGGCAAAGTGAACGAACCATTCAGACACTCGAAGACATGCTGAGAGCTTGTGTGATTGACTTTGGAGGTAGTTGGGATACTTATCTTCCATTAGCAGAATTCTCATATAACAACAGTTATCATGCAAGCATTGGCATGCCTCCTTATGAAATGTTATATGGAAGAAAGTGTAGGACACCTATTTGTTGGGGTAAAGTGGGACAAAGAGTACTCGGTAGTACTGAGATAGTTCAAAAGACAACAGAGAATATTCAGATGGTCAGGGAAAGACTGAAGACAGCTCAAAGCCGCCAAAAGAGTTATGCAGATAAGAGACGATCCGACTTAGAATTTCAAGTTGGAGATTTTGTATTACTAAAAGTGTCACCATGGAAGGGAATCATCCGATTCAGGAAAAGAGGAAAATTGGGACCTAGATTCATTGGTCCATATAAAGTTATTGCACGAGTTGGGAAGGTAGCATATCGCTTAGAGCTACCAGAACAATTAAATCAGATACACAACACATTTCATGTGTCGCAATTAAGAAAGTGTATGGCAGAAGAAACCTATATTGTGCCACTTGACGATATTCAGGTAGATAACATACTTAACTACATTGAAAAGCCTGTTGCCATTATAGATCGAAAAATAAAGACATTACGCAACAAGGAAATAGTAATTGTTAAAGTACAATGGCAGCACCGACGTGGAACAGAATGGACTTGGGAACCAGAAGATGAAATGAAAAAGAATTATCCCGAGTTCTTTTTATAAGGATTTCGAAGACGAAATCATTCCAAGTAGGGGAGAATTGTAACGCCCCGTTTTCATTTATAAATAAATAAATAAAGATAAGTATTTATGTCAAAAATGTTTATAAAATTATCATAAGTTATATATAAATATATAGTAGTAAATTTGGTGTTACAAATAATCAAAAATGTGTATAAAAGATTTAATGGTTATATGGTTTAAAAAGTTATAATTACATTTAAATATGAAAGTAAAAATATATTTATTTTTAGCTAAAGTGATCTAAATGAAAGTTGTAGTACTCGGAAATATCTACGCATGAAAAAAAAATACGTCGAAAACGGAGCTCGTATGAAGAAGTTATGAATTTTTGAAGTTTGAACAAAAATCTCGAAATGAAATCCGGCAGCCGACCACCGGCCGGAAAAGTGGCGAGTGGCGGCGCGTGGAGGCGAGTGGCGGCGAGTGGCTGGTGCCATTGGAAAGCTGACTCGATTTCCTTCAAGATGGAGTCGGGTCCAATAGTTCTAGGTGCGGTATTGAGTGCCAGAATTAGGCCAAAAGTAAAAGAAATCATAAAATAATAATAATGGAGAAATTAGGTCATGAATAAAATAATCAACATTTTTACCTATAAATAGAGAGGTAATTTTCCTTCATTTGGGAAAGAACAACAAGTGTAAATTATAGTCTTGATAATCGAGAAGATAAATCCCGAGAGGCTGTTAAGTGAATAAACTCGAGAAAACAAACGTTCGTGTTGCTGTTCTGCGACTAAGGTGAGTTTTACTATTCTATATGTGATACTCATGTATGTAGTTATTATAAAACAAGTTCATGTGAAGATATTATGATAAATAATATTTACCATTATTTACCATTATTTACTATTGACGGTAATTATGTGTAAACATGTTATATGTGTAATTTTTACTGTTGACGGTAAAAATGTTATGCTATATATTATATACTAGTAAATGTTATTACTATGATTATTATATGACATACATGATTAACTACTGTAGTTAAACAGTAGATGTTTCAGGATTACTGTAGTAAAACAGTAAATATTTCAGAATTACTGTAGTAAAACAGTAAATATTTTTATAATGATTATATGCATGTGGTAAAATGTATAGATTGTGAATTCACTAAGCGTTGGCTTATCAGATACTATTAACATTTTTACAGGACCCTCTGGGGTAAACAAGGGGAAGAATCCAGCTTGACTATCGTGGCAACCGCATTACTCTTGAAAATTATGGATAAAAGTCTTCCGCTGTTTATTTCAATAAATCATGTTTTATGTAATAAAGTTTAAACCTGGATTTATTTGTGTTTATTTAAAACTCTTTAAATGTCATTATATTATAAATGAAGTTTTATTAATATTCAAATGGGGACCAAATCAGATATTTTATTACTGTAGTAAATATTTATTTACCGCAGGAAAAAGAAAAAAAAAGAAAAAGGGTGTTACAATGTTAAATCACCCAATGATGAAGGAATTGAGCCAGATATATTGTTTTAGTATAGGTAGAAGATGGTTAACTGGTACAGGTTTCCAATTTCAGGTGGGATAACTCCAGAAAACTTATTCACTGAAAAATCAAGATAGACAAGTTTCGACAGGTGTCGGATTTCTGGTGGAATGGGGCCAAAGAAGTTGTTCATACCGAGATCAAAATGTGTAAGATTGTGTAGCAAAGAGAATGGAAATTGGTGGAGTGTACCTTTTAATCCAGATGAACTAAGGTTCAACTTCTGAATGCTCCCATCATCATTGCAAACTACTCCAAACCAAGAAGTGCATGGAACTGATGCACTGGAATTCATAGGGAGGGGAATCCATGAAGAGAGTAAGGAGTTGTTTGGGATTTGAAGGCTTTCTTTCCATTTCAGAAGAGCCTTGACTTCCTTCAAAGAAGCAGAAGCGAAATTTGGTATGGAGGAGACTGTGATTAATAGTGCTAGAGAGAAAAATAAGAAGTTTGATGAAGACATTAGCTTTGCCATCTTGCTTTATAAAAATAGATGGTTTGTGTGTACTAATTTATACTTGAGCTAGCTAACTTTTTCTCTTGTTTTCTTATTTTCAGGTACTTTTAAAAGGAAATTTGGGAAATGCCATATTTTTCCACGTACAAGGAGTGTCCTTTACGTTAGAAGTTAGTGTCAGATTTTTGCACAAAGGAGTGTATTAGACTTTGAATTGTATCTGTCATGACAATCCTTTCTTCTTAGAACAATGAAATTCGTTGTAAGCCAAACTTTAGAAAGGAACTACGGTTACAAGAAGATCATGTTATTTATGGATTTGACCGTGTAATAATATATCTTAAGTTGATCATTTAGACATATTTATATTTGTTTTCTGATTAATGCTAATAGAAGATTCACTTAAAAGTGTGTTTTTCTTGATAACCAATTCTGTAACTGTTGAGTTTTTCAAGAAATTTTTTCTTCTTAAAATATAATTCTAGAGCGCTCTGTAATCCTTGTGATACTCTTTATGGTCATCATGGAGAATATCCTGATCATAAAGTTGCAACACAGCTCTAAAAGGTGACCATTATGGTCATTGGAAACAATATACATACCAAATAGATCGACTGAAAACAAACTTATTTCTATTATTGTTGTTTCAAATTAAACACCATATTAATTTTTAAAAAAGAAAACTGCAAAAATAGTACCTATGGTTTCCAACTTCTTAATGTAGTCCTTTTAACTATGTTTCGTTATAGCTTAGGTCCTTGTTTTTAACACCGTTAATTTATTTCTGTTAAGTCAGTGTTAAATTACCATCTTACCCCTTTTTAAAATTTTAATAATTTATATCGTTATTATACTTACTTCAATCAAAATGCCCCTCCCCCATCTTCATTGACAACGCTGTTGTATGTATATATAACACATTGACAGGCGTCTGAGCAGATGTAAAGCCTTTTGCACTTCTCAAAATTCCATGGAAATAAAGAAACAGAGCATTGCTAGTGCATAATTTTATTTCTTTTACTTAATTATGACCCACTTACCCCAACTGGCCCTAGAGAGCCAGCAATAATAAAAAAAGATTTTTAATCGAATACTTGAACATTCTCACATTTAAAATTCTCCAGTAAAAACAACTCACCCAAACTCATAGAGATTGTTATTTATCCTAATCCATCATGTCATTGACTGATACCAAAATGAATGAGTCGATATTAACACCACCAAAATATCATAATTACAACAAAATGTAAGCAAAAAACAATTGCAACAACCAGAAGAAATTTATTCGGATTAAAAAATGGAGTAAAATAGTATAATTGAAAGAATAACAGAGAATTGCAAGTATACCTAAATAAAGATTGATGAAATTGTTAAGGTTTGGCAATTGCAAGGAAGAGATTTGATATCATGCAGTCATCGGTGAAGGTGAAAGGAGGAGTGGGGTGGGTTTTTTAATTGTATTATAATAGATGTATTAAATGATAAGATTAACAAAAAAAATTAATAGTGAAACAGGGGCATGATTGACATTTTAACATAACATAACTGTACAAAGTTCAAGGAGTTAAAAGAGAAGGACCTAATGTATAATGAAACCTTGACAAAAGGATTATATTTGCATGTTGAAAAACTCTCTGAACTCCATCTGCAAAAATTAACAAACCACAACGACTATTTTTACAATTTTCTATTTTTTTAAAAAGAAAAATAAAATTGCGGAATTTAACTTGGTATATAAAAAAGCTAAGATGCATTTAAATGGCCATTTTCTCTTGATTTTTGTTTTCCCATTTTCAAAAAAGGAAAATATGGGCCATGCCAAAATTTCCCACAAGAAATTTATTACGCTTAGGAATTAGTATTGTATTCATCATGACAATATGTTAATGCTGAGTTTGACAATGCAATATATCTTTATTGAAGGCAAATGTACATGTCAAATCGATTATCTTTGAAATTGTGTATAGTTACTTTCAAAATTGTAGTGGTTGTGGTTATCATTGTTTCTAATTATAACTATAGTAACAAAAAATAGAATTTATCTTCATTAATTAATTGAAAACTAACTGGAAATTTATCATGAAAAAAGTTCCGATCAATACAACATTTAATCTTTGAATAGAGTGTCTTTTACTTCAGAAATCATCTTTTAGGGAGAATGACTTTCACTTCAAAATATTTCTGATCAGACTTCTTTGTCAAATGTGTTAACGCTCCGGAAAAGCATATCATATATAGGAGGCTGTACGTTATTATTCCCTGTGTTATTTCATCACTTTCTTTGCCTCTTCAGTGTCATCTTGTAAATCCAAAGAAAGTTTGTGTTATTAAAATCTAAAATAAATCGCATACTAATTTATTATCAAGGAAACTTCTAAACACAGAAGATTAAGTGAGTATCATACCACTGTTTTCTTATAACCTGAACAACTTTTAGTATGGATATTGGACCCACCACTGCCTAACCCACGAAATGAACCTGATACTTCAGCAATCTACGTTTTTTTAGTGGACGACTATGTGAATGAGTCAATGCTAATGGCTCCTATACAAAAATCTAAAAATAAGTGCATTTCTTGAACGTGTGAATGTGGAAAAAAAGATTAAATGAGTACCATACCTCTGTTTTCTTATAACTACCAACATAACTTGAACAACATTTAGTATGGATATTGGACCCGCCACTGCCTAGCCCACCAAATGAACCTGATACTTGAGCAATCAATGTTTTTTAGAGGAAGACTATGTTAATGGGTCAATGGTAATGGCTCCTTTATAAAAATCTAAAGCTGAGTGCATTCTTTGAACGTGTGAATGAGGGAAAAAGATGATTTGAATAACAATGTCATTTTGTATTATGAATATCTAAACTATGTCTAATGCTAACATTAACTTAAAAATGAAGATAATTAAATAAAAAGTGATAAACAACCACTTCATTATACATATAAGGAATTTCTTTTTTCTAGTTATATTGAAAAGTAAATCTACATACGGTTATAGATAGAAATGCATCCATTATTTTTCGGTACTTCAAATTCACATATGGTTGTGATTTTTGGATATATCATGCGCACCCATTAATTGAAGTCTCGTATATATAATTTTCTAAGTCTAGATTATTTGGATCATTAAAATCTATGCCAGTTCACATGTACCTTGCATGTTAAATTAACATATAATTCAGTGAGACTTGGTACCCCTGACGGGTTAAAAGTCTCAAATTTGGTTCTTTTGAGTTGAGAGAGTGTGAGTTTTCGTTCCAAACACCCGAGTTCCAAATTTACTTCGTTCTTAGCCCGAAGTACCTCTAATTCTCCTAATTATTTGTACTGTTAACATTATCATTGTTAGTCTATATATTAGGCAGCTTGTTAATGAGCCCTTTTGTCTTTAGCCCATTAGGGTTTCTGTCTACCTAGTCTTTATATCTGCTTTATTCTTTGTAGTCTTTATTCTTTTCTTTGAGAACGCTTGTAATTTCTCTTTATCATAATCATATGACAATCTTATCATGGTATCAGAGCGGAGGTTCGATACGTTGTTAGAAGTCTTTGTAGCAGTCATCTAGGGTTACTGTTGCATGTCGTACTCGTTTGTTGTCGCTGGTATTCGTTGTTTATGTTTTGATTCGTTGTTACTGTTGATTCGTTGTTGTTGCTGCCGTTGAGTCGTAATTGCTGCTGTTGGTTCGTTATTCGATTGATTGCTTCCGCTGGTTTGTTACTCCTTTCATTCTCAGATTGTTATATTGTCATTGTGGTTATTTATTTACTATCAACATGACTGGAAAGGATGATTCCCTTCAGTCAATCAGTACTCATTTTGATGGAAAGAATTATACGCATTGGAGTTACGTTATGAAGAACTTCCTTCGTGGGAAGAATATGTGGGGCTATGTCACTGGAACTAAAGCTAAACCCTCAGTGCCTCAAACTGAGAATTTTGATCTGTTGCTTGATGCTTGGGAGACTGACAATTCCAAGGTCATTACTTGGATTAATTGATGGGTTTTAGGTAAAACAAATAAACTAGAAAACAATTTCTAAGTTCACATGCAACCTACATTGGATCTATGTTTTAACTATTGAACATATAACTTTGAATTGCAAAACAAGAACTCTAGAGGAGAGAGGCTATTTTCGAAAATAACTAACTAGGGTTTAAGGGTTACATACCTTTCAATTGTTATAGTAAATAATTGATAATCCTCTTGAACATGATCCTCTTGGAAGCCTAGCACCACAAATGTAATGCCTCTAATGGAATCACACCCAAGAACTAGCAAGAAGGAAACTAGAAGGAGAGAGAGAGAGAGTAAGGTATGCAAAATCGGCCCTAGGGTTTCTCAAGGGAAGGAGTGGCCGAATTTAGGAGCTGGGAGGCTTCTTATATAACTGAGGGATCTAGGGTTTAGGGAAAACCCTAATACTCCTTTGCTTGGGGCCTAAGCTAATCCAAAGGCCTTATCCAAACCCCCTTGGACGAAATCCTTTGGGTTTCCCCTATAGATTTCGTCCACCTCCTTCCAAGGAGGTTCTGGAGCCTTCCACTCAACTATTTGATAATTACAAACTAGTCCCTGCACTTTATAATTAATACTTTTAACCCCAAAATTAATTTTGATTAATTTCTGGCTAACTATTAATTAAACATAATGATTTCTAATTAATATATTAATCTTTTAACATATTAATAAATCATTTATATTAATTTATTAATCTTATAATAAATTAATATCTCTCCTTTCATAATTCCCTTGTCCAGTTGCTAGGTTTGAGGGCAACCCAAAATGACTGTGTTGCTATCAATTCAAGTACATACCAATTATAGTTATGGGCTTAGACACCTAATCCAACAGTCTCCCACTTGGATAAGTCAGTAACTATAATGCTAGTATTACTTCTAAATTTGACCAGCAACTTGTAGCTTCCAAAAGCCGTTGTTGAACTCTGACCCAATCAGTTACATGTCCTAAGATAAGTGATCATATAATCCTTGGTTCTTCAAGATATCCC